AAATTATGCAAGATCTTTGCCAGACTGTAACACACATGAACTATAGCATAGTCATTTCTGTTTGAAACCTTACCAACATTCTAGTCTTGTGAGCTCACAGCAGAATCATGCATGAACCACTGCTTACATCACTATGAAGCTTCTCTAGCTTCTCTAGCCTGTGCCTTCAAACCTTTCCACACTTCTGCAAACCAATTACAAAGGTTCTGAATCACATGGTCAGTCGTATTTATATCAACAACTCTACTTTTGGTACTATTTTTCTTGTGTCAGCTTTTTGTTGGTATAACAAAATACTTGAGATAAACAACTTAAAAGCGGAAAGGTTTGTTTTGGCTTACAGTTTTAGATGTTTCAGTCCATGGTCACTTGGCTCTGTTGCTTCTGGGCCTGTTGTAAGGCAGAACATCATGACAGGGAACGTGAAGTAGAGCAAAGCCACTCACCTTGTGACAGATCTTTCCTCAAGTTCAGAAATTGTGCTTGATCTAGTGTGCTATTGAGGCTCTCATGTGTACTGTACAGTATTTCTTACTTCGCCTGTTGAATTCTTTAGCTTTTCCATCTGGGGGTTCTTTATGATCTCTATTTCATTGATGAATTTCAAATTCATGTAATAAATTTCTTCCTAATTTTGTTAAATTGTCTGTCTGCATACTCTTGTAGCCATTAAGTTTTCTTACATTTTTACTTTAAATCATTTTTTCAGGAAATTAATTGATTTCCTTTTGTCTGTGAACTGTTGCTAGAGAGCTGTTGTGTTCTTTCGGAGGCATCTTATTATCTTGTTTTTTCATGCTTCCCCATGTTTGGTATTTGTGCATTTGGATGATTAGCTCATTCTACCAATTTTGTAGGGTAACTTTTGTAGTAAAAGACTTGCTCCTGGTGCTAAGTGCTAGGGTGCTGATTGGATAGGTTCCACTGGCTTTGGTTCCATTTGGGCACTTCACTGCATGTAACTTCTTCAACTTGTAATTGCTGGTGATGTCTTTATGTTCTAGGCTTTGGGAATTGTACAGTTGAACTTATGTTTTCTTACATGGGATGGGTTTGTTGGTAACTCTGGAGGCTTTGAACTTGGCTGTGTGTGTGGAATACCTGTCAATTTCTGTGGGTCATGTGAGGGTGGGAGTGCTCTGATGGGCATTTGCATGCAAGGTGCGGTTATGTGACAGCAAAGCATAGCTTTCATTGGTTTCCAAGGGCTGCATGGGCATAGGACCAACACTGTGGCCTGTGTGGTATATTGTAGCATGCCCAGTAGAGGAGCAGAGTACCTATAAGTGTCAGGGCAACACAGGGGTTGGGCTGTGCTGCATCAGTGGGCCCAAATGGGATGCTGATGTGTGTTGAAGGGTAGCTTCATGGGTAGCTTTGCTGGGACTCTGGGGCTCACGGCTCAGGGCACGCTGTCTGCTTTTTTTGAGCTTCAGTGGTCTGAGGTTCTGAGAATGGTTTACCTAGTTACTTCTTGGGGCTTTGGGAGGATAGACAGGAGGACTGCCTTAACTTCTTCCAGCAGACTGAGCCACTCAGTGCTGGTTGCCAGTCTACTTTCTGGGGATATGGATGGGTGGGGTTGCCTGGCTGCTTCCAGGGATAGGTTGACTGAGCAGCTGGGGTATGGATGACTAGCTTCTTCCCAGGACCCCAGGTATAGTCTCAAGATGGCACTGTGCAACAGGAGCGTTGGGAGAGCATAACATGAGCTGAGCTCTTTCTCTGGTGTGGTAACCTCACAGCTGTCTATACTAGGCTCAGGATATGTGAGGGCCGCAGAATTGTCCAGCGACAAATGCCTCAGGTTATGGCATGAATGGAGACTTCTGGGGGGTTCTCCACTCCTGATTCCTCTCTTCACACAAAGCTGACCTTGAACTCACTGTGTATCCCAGGCTGGCCTCAAACTTGTGGTGATCCTCCTAAGTTTCCTGACTGCTGGGACTATAGGTGTGTATCACTGTGGCCAGCTTTAGATCCCTTCTTGATAAAGGGCATCATGTATCTCCATGCTTCCCAGTATCTCTCTGCCATATCCTCACTGTATTCCAGTGCTGTTCCTCATACATGCCAGTGAAATAGCTGTTTTTGTTTTGGCCCCCTGTTGCAGAGAAAAACATGCCAGACACCTCTAAACAGCTCTCTTGCTGGATACAGTGATTAGTCTCTTTCTAACCCTTTTTTTCCGAACCTACTATTAACCTTGTTAATGAAATCTAGCCATGCCTGGATTTTGAAGGACTTCTTGCAATCTTCTCATTGTCACTATTTATCTTGTCTGTTTCTGCTTCTCTTGATGATGACAATTTGGTTGTCTGCTTACAACCACACCTGCCAGGAGTTATCTATTGGTACACTAAAGCAAATTTGCAATTTGAAGCTTAGATGTTTAATTTGGCCCTCTTAGTGTTCTAAAAATAAGGACATTTCGCATAAAATCTGGATTCCTATTTTTCTTCATGTTGAATGCCTGTGTGGCAGTTGTGCATCAGCTGAGTAGCAGCTGCTTTTTTAGTTGAGGCAGGAGGATTGAAGTTTTACTTCCCTTAATTCCCTGTTGTTTACACCTGGCCCACATTAGTCATTTACATCCATTCTTGCCTGGCCCCTAGAGGCATTTGTTTGACTTACCTTTGAGGTAAATTGTTCTTTGTCTTTGTTTTTTTAAACATCTCTTAGTTCTGTGATCTAGTGCTTCTGGAAAGAGCTGACCACCATGTTTGGCTCTGGAACATAGGCTCTCGGTATGTAACGGACAAGGTAGACTTTGTTATGTATCTTGGGCTAGTGCCTGTCTCCAGCAAACTCAGGTACATTGGGCTTGTAATATTCTAAGGCCCAGAAGACAAATCTGCTTGTGTGTGTGTGTGTGTGTGTGTGTGAATTCATTCATTCATTCATTCATATGTTCAGCAGTTATAAACTAGACCCTGAGTGAGGTGTAGATGATACATTGATGAAAGAGACCAATACAGTGCCTGCCCTCAGGAAACCTGGCCGTTGGAAGTATTTAATGTCTGTGTCCTCCTAACATGTTAGTCTGTCTTTTCTTTAGACTTACAAGCATACTTGCTCTTTTGTTCCTAGTTTTCTTTCTAGCTCAGTTTTGTACAAACTTCAAATTGAACAGATAAGAGTAGTTTGGGGGGCCAGACTGCCCAGGTGACTCCATTCTGATCTGCTTGTACAGTGTAGTCATGGCTGGATGTCACAGTGTAGGTTTATCTGACCTGAAACTTAAGACTGCCTTTATAAGTAATGATAAATAATGGCTACCATGTACCCAGCATTAGTGCCTTATAAGATAGTATCTTAATCTAATATATGAACTAGATATTATTATTATTATTATTATTTCTGCTTTATGCATATAGAAATTGAGGCTTAGAAAATTAAGTAACTTTCTCAGAGTTACTAGAATTAGATCTTTGTGTAACCATTTTGGTGGAGTTCGTGCCCTCAATACTTGTGAGTTGACTTGAGGGCCTCTTTTTGCCCAAGATTTTTTTTTTTTGCTACCAGGGGTTGCACTCAGGTCCTTGTACTTGTGAGGCAGGGGCCAGAACCACTGAGCTAAATCCCCAGCACCCAAGATATTTTTTTACTTCTCCTTAACATGGTGTGAAATTCTGCCATCTAAATGATACGCTTTTATTTCTTGTTAAAATATAAAAATTTTTGGAGGAGTGCTGAGTTGTCACCACCAACATCTTAACACCTTCACCTTTTCTTTGACAGCTAATTAACAATCAGATCTTGAGGGATCCAGGCAGGTAAGAGACCCCATCTGGAGTTGGGATACTACTTGAAGATATATGTGCATATAATATCACTTGAGCAGGGTTAGAATTGTTGAGAGAACAAAATAAGATCTACTTAAAGGACCTAGCACAGGTTTGGGTTCTTAAGAGGACTCTAAGAAATACATTCCTTAGGCATGATGGTGCATGTCTGTAATCCCAGTACTCAGGAGGCTGAGGCAGGAGGATCATAAGTTTGAGGCCATCCTTGTTGACTGAACTACAAAAAAACCAAAACCAACCCCTTCCCCAACCAAAAAACTTTTTTTAGGGGAGGAATTGAGAAAGAGGGGAAAGTTTATGACAGGGAAAGCAGGAGTGCTGAAACAACCTTTCTGATTGCTAGGGTGGGTTCCCTCTTGCTCTACAAAATAGTTTCCTGGAGCTTTGGAACCCTCTACTTCTAATTTACTAAGGCCTTACTGCTTTTATGCAAGAAAAGGTTCAAATATGGATTAGAAAAAATGGAAGGCCAGGAAGGAGCAAAATGAATAATACTTTGTATTTATCTTACATCTCTTGTCTTCTAAGCACAGACTGCTCTGTGGACTCCAACTCATTAATCCTCCATGCTCTCCATGAAGGAAGGAAACAATTTCCATTGTAGACATCTTCCTTAGTCAGCTTAACTGGACTCTCACCTTCCTACTTGCAACCCATTTTCTGTGGTTAGGAATGTCCCAGTGTGTAGGGGAATTTCCAGGGCCCTTGATATGGGAATCAGTTGCACCTTGGCTGTCAGCTTTCATACATCTGTGATGCCATTTGAGATCAGCTCTCCTGTTCATATGTTTGTGTTCTTTTTATAAATATCTTTTTCTATTTAAAACTTAATATGTATAAGCTTTAAACATTAGAGAATATAGTAACATGTCAAAAAAAGTAAAAGGCTCTCATTTGCCAATCCTTCTCAGTATGTTTTTTGATGCCCTTGAGATGGCATGGACTCTTCAGAATTGTTTTTTGTGCATTTACAAAAGTACTGTATACACATGACAGCATGCTGTGTTCATTTAACCGTATTGCCTCACAGTGCTGGTTCTGAAGCTGACCTTATGAAGTGAATTGCGGGTATCCAAACATCTCTGGCAAGGAGAGAAGGGATGGAGAGAGAATATGCTGCCTCAGGTTGTTTTCTTTCTGCTTGCCTGGAGCCTCGTTGTAATGTGTCATGGCCTGTACTTTTTTTCCCCACAGAATGAGTTTGCGCTGACCAACCTAGAGAAGAGCAGTACCAAAGAGCCAGAGAAAAAGGAAGCCAAAGCGGAGGAGGAGATGGATGCCAAAGACCTGGAGGTGTTTCAGCCAACTCATGAGTGGCAGGCCCTTCGACCAGGTACCAGGTCCAGCCCTGTCCCTTGAAAACACTCTCTGAATTCAGACTGAATATGTCCATTCTCCTCGGACTGCTTTGAAGGAGCAGCCACTCTCTGGCTTGCTGGAAAGGAACAATGTGGTCTATTGTAATGGTAGCTGCTGCTGCTGCAGGGCTTAGAGACCTTCATTTCCTAGCAGAACAGAGATTGGGGCATCTGAGTGCCCTGGAAGGAAGGCAGGTGGTGGGTGGCCGTGTTTTCTGAGCAAGTGATTGAAAACTTTCTTTCCTTGCACTTCTGAAGCACAGGAGAGGCAGTGACATGTGCCTTGCTCTGCAAATGCTATTTTGGGCTCTGCCGCTCGGCTCAGTGTTGCTGAAATATTGTTCACAAGAGAGTCCCTAGCACTGGTGCAGGGTAAGAGTATTCTGTTGTTAAAGGAACCTGTGCCAAGAAAAAGGGGCTGACCCTGGACTGGATTTTAAATGAAGCATCCTGAGAAGGAACCACTTTCTAACCCTGGGCCTGGGGCTTAAAATAATCTTGAAAATAGCCAGCAATTATGGAGTGTTTACCAGATTCAGGTATGGTGCTAGGTGCTTCACGTGCATAATCTTGTTCAGTCTTCACAATAGTAGGAGTTATTATGTTGGGGTTTTTTTTTGGGGGGTACTGAGGATCGAACTCTGGACCTTACGCTTACAAAGCTAGTGGTGAAACCACTGAGCTAAATCCCCAGCCCAATAGCAGTTATTATTAACTTTATTTTTCAGTGAAAACATTGGGACTTGGAGTTTAGATAACATGTCCTATGTTATTTCAGTCCTGTGTCATTGACTTTAGAGCCTGGATATGTTCTCCCGCTTCTCCTTTCCATTGCAGCTGTCCTTGGCTGGAGCCTACTCTGACACTTGGACCTCTTTTCAGGAGAAAGGCTGTTTGCATTCTGCACAGTGGGAAGGTGGATGGCAAGCCTGGGCAGAGTAGTTTCATCAGCTCCTTGCTGATATTCGTCACCATGTCCTCATTGCCCCCATTGCTGCTTTGCTGGCAGGGATAGTATTTGCAGTGCCAGCCAGCTTTCTGGTAGCAATATTGCTCCTGCTGGGCTTGCATACGGGTAGTTGCTGCCACAGAAGAATGGTAAAACACCAAAGAAGCCAAGTGGGAACTAATTGCATCGGGCAGGGGGAAGTTTAGGAACAGATACTGGGTTTGGCATATCCTACCTCTGGCTCCTCTCTCCCAGCTTCTCTGAGAACCCAGCTCTTCTGTTTTTAAGGACCAAAACTAGAGGATCTCTCAGGTAAAGAGTGGAAGCAGATGGAGGCTGATGTCCTGTGGGCCCTACTTCTCACTATTTGTTCTGTGGCTGGGTCAGTAGCTCCCTTCTAAGGCCTTGGTCCACACTGCAGATAGAATAAAGATAATGGTTCTGACCCAGGGCCTTGGCCAAGCCCTCTTGGTGGTGGAGCTGTTGATCTTGGCTAGAGTCCTGTGTGTATGCTTGAGGAGGAAGAGCCAGAGCCTGTGTGACAGGGCTGGGTTATGGGCTCTGACAGCCTTCTGGACAACTGGAGTAGAGCATAGCATTTTTACATTGAACTTGGTACCCCATTGACATTACTCTCCTTTTTAGAATGTCTTAGAAGCTCCTTGTAAACTCTGCTGCCCAAAGGCTACTGTGTGGTGCAGAGAGGGCCTAAAGGAGGAAAAACAACTCCGGTTCCAGTCATATCTGCCCCATTCATGAGAGAGCATTTTCATTTACACCTTACTCACAAGGTTAGATAAGTAAGGGAGCTTAGATGGATACTTGTTTGGCTTCAATGTCTGATACAGAGTTATCTAGGTTCCATACAATGGAGTCAAACCAGTGGAGGCAGTTAAGCCACTCTTAGATCCCAGTACAGGATTGAGGTGTTCTGTATAGATATTGATCTTTTAGTGGTCTATGTGGATATTCAATAATGTCCTCTAACCAGAGTATAATACTTAATTTACTGCATTCTGAATGCTACCTGGGAGCTTCTAACATAGCTACCTAAAGGCTAAAAAGAAAGTAGCCAATTCTGACAGCCTTTGGAATGGGCAGGACAGTGGGGAGATAGAATAATTTATTTAGTAGTAAAAAGCAGACTTTAGACTCGGTGGTCTTGGCTTCAAATCCTGGCTTTTACACTTGGGGAATTTCTTCCCCTCTCCCTCCATCCCCTTCTCTCTCTCCCCACTTCTTCCCTCCCTCCCTGATTCCCCATTTTTTTCATCTTTTTGAGATAGAGTCTCATGATATAGTCCAGGCTAACCTCATACTTGATATGTAGCTCAAGCTGGCTCAACTCTTGATCCTCCTCCCTCAGCTCCCCAATTGCATTACACATGCTACTATTAGGGAATCTTGGGCTACTCACCAAATCCTTCTGCTCTTTGGTTTCCCCATTGGTGATGTGGTCTGCTGCACAGGCTGTTGTATGGATGAGATGGGAGATGGAGAGCCTTGTGCTCAGTTCCTGATATGAAGGCATCACTTAAAATATAGCTGTTCTAGTTTCAGTGGTAAATTCTCCATTCATCTGTGGAATTGGGTTCTAGTATGGGTGTAAGGACCTGTGGCCTTTATGTTCCTGTGGCCTTACTTAGCAAAGGGAACTTAAGATGTGAAGGAAAGATTTCCATGGTCTCAAAATGTTCTCCCTCTCTTCTTCAATAGCAGTTTTGAATGAGCAAAATTAAGCATGAACAGAAGGATTAGTAGAGCATTTCTTGCTTGAGATTTAGAGCATGGCACAGGAAGATGGTGGTATCTCTTTTGAAAATTTTAAGAAAATGGTTAGGGAAAAAAAAAAAAAAGCTGGGAGCCAGGTGTGGTGGTGCATGCCTATAATCCCAGCACTTGAGAGGCTGAGGCAGGAGGATCACTGTGAGTTTGAGACCAGCCTGGGTTACATAGTGAGTTCCAGGTCAGTCTCAACTACATAGTGAGACCCTGTCTCAAAAACCAAAAAAAAAAAAAAAAAAAGCTGGGCATGGTGGCACACAACTGTAATCCCAGCAGGGGATTGGGGGGCTGAGGCAGGAGGATTGCTATGAGTTCAAGACCAACCTGGGCTACATAGTGAGTCAGGTCAGTCTCAACTACATAGTGAGACCCTGTCTCAAAAAACAAACACTTAAAAAGTACCAACAAACTCAGTAAGATTAAAAAAAAAAGAAAGCCAAAAAACAAAGAAAGAAAGAAAATGGTCAGTTTACATTGACAGTTGCTGACCCCAGTCTTGGTCTCCCAGTTTGCTACCTTTTGTCTCCTCTGGTCTCAGAAAGAAGGACTACAGCTTTGCTTTTCTTAGCCTTCCAAAGGAGGGATACTAGGATATGTAGGCTGTTTAGTTTTGACTGGGCTCATTTGAAGGCAGATTTGCAGAGTGCCTGCTGCAGCCTGACACACCATGGGAGCAGCCTGTGACTTTGTGGGCCTTCCTGCTAAGCCAGGTGGTTAGAGAGCCCCAGCCACACAGCCCTGGAGTAGCTCCAGGTTACTCTCCTAAAGTCTGCTTGCCTCTGTTATTACTGTCAGCATCCTCACTGGGAGTTGCTTGTTCCTGGAAGTGATTTTCCTGTCTCTCTTTCTTCTGGTTTATTTTGGGATCTGCCTCACCTTACGGAGGCACAGCAGGCATTTGAGTGTGGATTCAGCATCAGCTGTTCACAAGCAAGCAGAGGAAAGCTGTTTGCTGGCAGGTCCTAGTGGTTCTGGGCAGGAAATCTGTCCTGGGGCGTAGGACCCTGAACACACCAGGACTTTGTGCCTGTGCACTTGCTATTACAGAATTCTGGGCACAGCCAGATTCAGTAGGGCTTTTGCTCCCACAGCATTTTCTGAGATCCTACTTTGTGCCAGACACTGGATTTATAACCAGAGCTATAGATAATAGTTCACATTTACTGAGCATTGACTTTGCCAGGCTTCCTTTGAGAGCAGATGCTATAACTATCCCCATTTTTTATAGGGAAAACTGAGTCTTAGAAGAAATTATTTAGCCAAACAATAAGTAGTAGAGTCAGAATTCAAACCCAGCTTTTTCTGACAATAAGCCCTATTTCCTTATCACTGTGCAATACTGTCTTCTGGGGGAACAAAAAGGGCATGAACCCTACCCTCTATAGCTTATAGTCTCACAGAGGATACAGAGAAAAAAAGACCATCAACATGCTTTTGGTTGGTGTGTCAAGGCCAGGGCTTTCTCTCTCTAATCCTGTGAGCTCAATGGGGGCAGTTAGTCAAATTTCATGAGGCCAAACCTCCACCCTATCTGCAGGTCTCTTTTTGAGTTGTGTGGCCTTCATAAAGTTGTGTAAAATCTCTGAACCTTCGTTTCCTCATCTGAAAATAGGAATGAAAGTATCTATGTCACAGAGACAGTGTGAAAATGGAATAAAATTTATATGTATAACTGTGCAGAGGGCCTAAAACTCAGGACATATTTAATAAATGACTGGAATTGCCATTTAAAATATTTGCCTTTGCTGCCTCTGTTTCCTGGGAAGGCTTGAAGGAGAAGTGGAGGAGGAGAAGCAGCCTGGGCTACAAGTCTCTGTACTGCCCATTCACCATTGCTGCCTGTTGGCCCCATGCAGGCTCAGGGAGGTGTAGCCAGGCTCAGACATGGGGTTCCTTATTGACCTGATCTGACTTCCAGGCGGCTGTGAAAGTCTCTGAAATATTGGCAGTAACACAAAGAGCCTACTCGATGGGAGCATGCAGGAAGCCTGTGCAGGAACACGTTCAAGGGGGAGGGGGGTGGAGAAAAAAAATCCAAATCATCAACAACTGATGAGAGCAATCCAAGAATTATAGAGCACCAGCCATCTGGTCAGATCATTTCAGATCTGCACAAGCAATAAGAGGGAATTGAATTTTAAAAACCTCATTTATAGTAGACCAACTACTCTGGTTTCAAGTATTTAAGACAGGAGCTTGATTTCCTGCTGGCCCTGGACATCTGTCTGAAGGAGCACCTGA